CCATGGACCAGATCTGCTTGTAGAGCCTTTTGAGAATTCTCAAAAGTCTCACCAAACAGCGCCATGGACCAGATCTGCTTGTAGAGCCTTTTGAGAATTCTCAAAAGTCTCACCAAACAGCGCCATGGACCAGATCTGCTTGTAGAGCCTTTTGAGAATTCTCAAAAGTCTCACCAAACAGCGCCATGGACCAGATCTGCTTGTAGAGCCTTTTGAGAATTCTCAAAAGTCTCACCAAACAGCGCCGTGGACCAGATCTGCTTGTAGAGCCTTTTGAGAATTCTCAAAAGTCTCACCAAACAGCGCCATGGACCAGATCTGCTTGTAGAGCCTTTTGAGAATTCTCAAAAGTCTCACCAAACAGCGCCATGGACCAGATCTGCTTGTAGAGCCTTTTGAGAATTCTCAAAAGTCTCACCAAACAGCGCCATGGACCAGATCTGCTTGTAGAGCCTTTTGAGAATTCTCAAAAGTCTCACCAAACAGCGCCATGGACCAGATCTGCTTGTAGAGCCTTTTGAGAAGTCTCAAAAGTCTCACCAAACAGCGCCATGGACCAGATCTGCTTGTAGAGCCTTTTGAGAATTCTCAAAAGTCTCACCAAACAGCGCCATGGACCAGATCTGCTTGTAGAGCCTTTTGAGAATTCTCAAAAGTCTCACCAAACAGCGCCATGGACCAGATCTGCTTGTAGAGCCTTTTGAGAATTCTCAAAAGTCTCACCAAACAGCGCCATGGACCAGATCTGCTTGTAGAGCCTTTTGAGAATTCTCAAAAGTCTCACCAAACAGCGCCATGGACCAGATCTGCTTGTAGAGCCTTTTGAGAATTCTCAAAAGTCTCACCAAACAGCGCCGTGGACCAGATCTGCTTGTAGAGCCTTTTGAGAATTCTCAAAAGTCTCACCAAACAGCGCCATGGACCAGATCTGCTTGTAGAGCCTTTTGAGAATTCTCAAAAGTCTCACCAAACAGCGCCATGGACCAGATCTGCTTGTAGAGCCTTTTGAGAATTCTCAAAAGTCTCACCAAACAGCGCCATGGACCAGATCTGCTTGTAGAGCCTTTTGAGAATTCTCAAAAGTCTCACCAAACAGCGCCATGGACCAGATCTGCTTGTAGAGCCTTTTGAGAATTCTCAAAAGTCTCACCAAACAGCGCCATGGACCAGATCTGCTTGTAGAGCCTTTTGAGAATTCTCAAAAGTCTCACCAAACAGCGCCGTGGACCAGATCTGCTTGTAGAGCCTTTTGAGAATTCTCAAAAGTCTCACCAAACAGCGCCATGGACCAGATCTGCTTGTAGAGCCTTTTGAGAATTCTCAAAAGTCTCACCAAACAGCGCCATGGACCAGATCTGCTTGTAGAGCCTTTTGAGAATTCTCAAAAGTCTCACCAAACAGCGCCATGGACCAGATCTGCTTGTAGAGCCTTTTGAGAATTCTCAAAAGTCTCACCAAACAGCGCCATGGACCAGATCTGCTTGTAGAGCCTTTTGAGAATTCTCAAAAGTCTCACCAAACAGCGCCATGGACCAGATCTGCTTGTAGAGCCTTTTGAGAATTCTCAAAAGTCTCACCAAACAGCGCCATGGACCAGATCTGCTTGTAGAGCCTTTTGAGAATTCTCAAAAGTCTCACCAAACAGCGCCGTGGACCAGATCTGCTTGTAGAGCCTTTTGAGAATTCTCAAAAGTCTCACCAAACAGCGCCATGGACCAGATCTGCTTGTAGAGCCTTTTGAGAATTCTCAAAAGTCTCACCAAACAGCGCCATGGACCAGATCTGCTTGTAGAGCCTTTTGAGAATTCTCAAAAGTCTCACCAAACAGCGCCATGGACCAGATCTGCTTGTAGAGCCTTTTGAGAATTCTCAAAAGTCTCACCAAACAGCGCCGTGGACCAGATCTGCTTGTAGAGCCTTTTGAGAATTCTCAAAAGTCTCACCAAACAGCGCCATGGACCAGATCTGCTTGTAGAGCCTTTTGAGAATTCTCAAAAGTCTCACCAAACAGCGCCATGGACCAGATCTGCTTGTAGAGCCTTTTGAGAATTCTCAAAAGTCTCACCAAACAGCGCCATGGACCAGATCTGCTTGTAGAGCCTTTTGAGAATTCTCAAAAGTCTCACCAAACAGCGCCATGGACCAGATCTGCTTGTAGAGCCTTTTGAGAATTCTCAAAAGTCTCACCAAACAGCGCCATGGACCAGATCTGCTTGTAGAGCCTTTTGAGAATTCTCAAAAGTCTCACCAAACAGCGCCATGGACCAGATCTGCTTGTAGAGCCTTTTGAGAATTCTCAAAAGTCTCACCAAACAGCGCCATGGACCAGATCTGCTTGTAGAGCCTTTTGAGAAGTCTCAAAAGTCTCACCAAACAGCGCCATGGACCAGATCTGCTTGTAGAGCCTTTTGAGAATTCTCAAAAGTCTCACCAAACAGCGCCATGGACCAGATCTGCTTGTAGAGCCTTTTGAGAATTCTCAAAAGTCTCACCAAACAGCGCCATGGACCAGATCTGCTTGTAGAGCCTTTTGAGAATTCTCAAAAGTCTCACCAAACAGCGCCATGGACCAGATCTGCTTGTAGAGCCTTTTGAGAATTCTCAAAAGTCTCACCAAACAGCGCCATGGACCAGATCTGCTTGTAGAGCCTTTTGAGAATTCTCAAAAGTCTCACCAAACAGCGCCGTGGACCAGATCTGCTTGTAGAGCCTTTTGAGAATTCTCAAAAGTCTCACCAAACAGCGCCATGGACCAGATCTGCTTGTAGAGCCTTTTGAGAATTCTCAAAAGTCTCACCAAACAGCGCCATGGACCAGATCTGCTTGTAGAGCCTTTTGAGAATTCTCAAAAGTCTCACCAAACAGCGCCATGGACCAGATCTGCTTGTAGAGCCTTTTGAGAATTCTCAAAAGTCTCACCAAACAGCGCCATGGACCAGATCTGCTTGTAGAGCCTTTTGAGAATTCTCAAAAGTCTCACCAAACAGCGCCATGGACCAGATCTGCTTGTAGAGCCTTTTGAGAATTCTCAAAAGTCTCACCAAACAGCGCCATGGACCAGATCTGCTTGTAGAGCCTTTTGAGAACTCTCAAAAGTCTCACCAAACAGCGCCATGGACCAGATCTGCTTGTAGAGCCTTTTTAGAATTCTCAAAAGTCTCACCAAACAGCGCCGTGGACCAGATCTGCTTGTAGAGCCTTTTGAGAATTCTCAAAAGTCTCACCAAACAGCGCCATGGACCAGATCTGCTTGTAGAGCCTTTTGAGAATTCTCAAAAGTCTCACCAAACAGCGCCATGGACCAGATCTGCTTGTAGAGCCTTTTGAGAATTCTCAAAAGTCTCACCAAACAGCGCCATGGACCAGATCTGCTTGTAGAGCCTTTTGAGAAGTCTCAAAAGTCTCACCAAACAGCGCCATGGACCAGATCTGCTTGTAGAGCCTTTTGAGAATTCTCAAAAGTCTCACCAAACAGCGCCATGGACCAGATCTGCTTGTAGAGCCTTTTGAGAATTCTCAAAAGTCTCACCAAACAGCGCCATGGACCAGATCTGCTTGTAGAGCCTTTTGAGAATTCTCAAAAGTCTCACCAAACAGCGCCATGGACCAGATCTGCTTGTAGAGCCTTTTGAGAATTCTCAAAAGTCTCACCAAACAGCGCCATGGACCAGATCTGCTTGTAGAGCCTTTTGAGAATTCTCAAAAGTCTCACCAAACAGCGCCGTGGACCAGATCTGCTTGTAGAGCCTTTTGAGAATTCTCAAAAGTCTCACCAAACAGCGCCATGGACCAGATCTGCTTGTAGAGCCTTTTGAGAATTCTCAAAAGTCTCACCAAACAGCGCCATGGACCAGATCTGCTTGTAGAGCCTTTTGAGAATTCTCAAAAGTCTCACCAAACAGCGCCATGGACCAGATCTGCTTGTAGAGCCTTTTGAGAATTCTCAAAAGTCTCACCAAACAGCGCCATGGACCAGATCTGCTTGTAGAGCCTTTTGAGAATTCTCAAAAGTCTCACCAAACAGCGCCATGGACCAGATCTGCTTGTAGAGCCTTTTGAGAATTCTCAAAAGTCTCACCAAACAGCGCCGTGGACCAGATCTGCTTGTAGAGCCTTTTGAGAATTCTCAAAAGTCTCACCAAACAGCGCCATGGACCAGATCTGCTTGTAGAGCCTTTTGAGAATTCTCAAAAGTCTCACCAAACAGCGCCATGGACCAGATCTGCTTGTAGAGCCTTTTGAGAATTCTCAAAAGTCTCACCAAACAGCGCCATGGACCAGATCTGCTTGTAGAGCCTTTTGAGAATTCTCAAAAGTCTCACCAAACAGCGCCATGGACCAGATCTGCTTGTAGAGCCTTTTGAGAATTCTCAAAAGTCTCACCAAACAGCGCCATGGACCAGATCTGCTTGTAGAGCCTTTTGAGAATTCTCAAAAGTCTCACCAAACAGCGCCATGGACCAGATCTGCTTGTAGAGCCTTTTGAGAATTCTCAAAAGTCTCACCAAACAGCGCCATGGACCAGATCTGCTTGTAGAGCCTTTTGAGAATTCTCAAAAGTCTCACCAAACAGCGCCATGGACCAGATCTGCTTGTAAAGCCTTTTGAGAATTCTCAAAAGTCTCACCAAACAGCGCCATGGACCAGATCTGCTTGTAGAGCGCTAGAAATTCCTTCAAAGCGTCGATGTGCCAGCCACAGGGCTGATATTTGGAGGATGCAGTTGAAGTGTGCTGAGATGGGAGAGAAGGCGGTTGCATGGAGGGAATACGCACTGGTGGCCCGAACTACATACCGGTTTTGAGTCGACTCAAAAGCAGACCATCTATTCTCAACAGGGCTGATATTTGGAGGATGCAGTTGAAGTGTGCTGAGATGGGAGAGGAGGCGGTTGCATGGAGGGGAGGGAATAGGCACTGGTGGCCCGAACTACATACCTGCATGGTTGGAGGATGCATAACATTTTCCCATGCAAATGATATTAGAATTTAACGGCAGACCTGCATGGTTGGAGACTGCCGTTGAAGTGTACTGCGAGGGGAGAGGAGGCGGCTGCATGGAAGGCCATCGCACGGGGAGCACCATCTTGGATGATGGATACATCCATGCGACCATCTGCGAGGGAGGTGAGAGACACGGAAAATACAGAGGAAAGAGAGTCACCTTGCCACCTTGCATGAAAGGCAGTGTCACACAGCCCTGCCGCCATCGCACGGAAAGCACCATCTTGGATGATGGATACACCCATGCGACCATCTGCGAGGGAAATGGGAGCGGGATACAGAGGAAACAGAGCCACCTTGCCACCTTGTACAGCATCACCTTGGACGATGGGTACACCATACATCCATGCGACCATCTGTATAGAGGGTATTTTTGAGACGTCTCAAAAAGGCAGCACCACCTTGGACGATGGGTACACCATACATCCATGCCACCATCTGAGAGGGAAGTGAGAGGGACAGGAGGAAACAGAGAAAACAGAGCCGCCTTGCCACCTTACACGAAAGGTAGTGCCACCATGCAGCCCTGCCTCCATGGCACTCGGGAGAAGTTGTCTTGCTCCATGAAGCAAAGGTTCTCTGCCTCACACGGCAATCTTTTGGCATACCTGTGAAACGTTGACATGGAGCCTCAATCAAACCCTCACATCCACACAGAGCATCGGCCTCACACCTACCTGTGAGACGTTGGAATAGAGCCTGACGTCTATGCAGAGGGAGAGCTTATGGCACTCCAGCGATTGTTACAGGCTGCCTCAAAAGGCAGTAGTTGGACTATACCTGTGAGACGTTGGCATAGAGCATGACGTCGATGGAGAGCGAGAGCACTCGGGAGAAGTTGTGGCGCTGCATGAAGCAATAGATTTACGCACCTTACCTGAACCCCCACACGCAAACAGAGCACACAGGGCACAGCATACCTGTGAGACGTTGGCATAGAGCATGACGTCGATGGAGAGGGAGAGCACTCGGGAAAAGTTGTGGCGCTCCATGAAGGCCGCAAGGATCCATGGCCGCGCCACCTCGATGCGCGTCACCCCCATCTTGCGCTGGTGAGCGGGAAGGGGGTGGAGGGGGGAGAGAATGAAAGGGGGGACAGTTCTTGGAAGGGACGCGATGAACTCGGATACTTGAAAGCTGTGAGAATCCCCCATCTTGTGCTGGGATGATGGGACGGGGGAAGGGGAGCTAAGGGACGGGGGGGGGAGAGGAAAGTGGGGGGAAAGGAGGGTTGAGGTGGGATTGGAGTGGAAAAAGGGAGGAAGTTGGCGTGGTGAGAAGCTGGGTTGCTTTGCTTGGCTTCATGACGTCTGCTAGGGTTCGCAGCTGTGCCCACTCGATGCGCGTCATGCCCGTCTTGTGCTGGTAAAGAGTGATGGTGTTAGAAGGACGCGGGGTGGTGGAGGGTGCGGGGTTTTGAAGCTCGTATATGGGCATGTGCCAGGGATCGGGAGATGGCTTTGATTGAGGGAACTTTTGAGTCGACTCAAAAGTCGCATATCATGTGCCAGGGATCGGGAGATGGCTTTGAGGGAAGCAGGTTGGTGGAGGAGAAAGGGAAGGGAGAGAAGGGGGAAGGCGGAGAGAGGGCAGGAGAGGAGGGTGCAAGGATGAGATCAACGGGCTGGGATTGGGAGCAGGCAGGATGGCATGAGACACACATGTACTGACAACAACCCATGCACCTGCCGGCTGCTATGGCCGAAAACGCACCTGCCGGCTGCTATGGCAAAAAACGCACCTGCTGGCTGCTATGGCCGAAAACGCACGGCTAGTCGCAAACCTGCACAGTAAGCGATCTAAAAAATGGTCTCAGAGAGAGCCAGGCGCACGTGTTGTTGTGCTCGTTGCGCCCCTCAATTGTCACCCCCCAAGCAACCCCACCGATTCACCCCGAGAAAAACCAGCAACTCACAGCCAACCATAAACGGTCCACATCCAGACAGCAACTCACAGCAAGCCAGGCACACGTATCGCTGTACTCGTTGCGCCCCTCAATTGTCACTCCCCATGAGTCCCCCGCAGTAGCCACCCTCACGAGTCATCAACGCAATGATTCGCTTCTAAAGGCCAGCAACTCACAGCAAGCCAGGCACACGTATCGTTGTACTCGTTGCGTCCCTCAATGGTCACCCCCATGAGTCCCCCGCAGTAGCCACCCGCACGAGTCATCAACGCAATTATTCGCTTCTAAAGGCCAGCAACTCACAGCAAGCCAGGCACACGTATCGTTGTACTCGTTGCGCCCCTCAATGGTCACTCCCAGTGCTGACAGGTGCTTCAGGTTGGGGTTGGGTCCCACCACGTACACCAGATCATTCAGACTCCGCGCCTGGGGGGGTGTAAAGCGAAGTGAGGGGGAGGAGCATGTAAGGACAACGGGCAGTAAGGTGAGGAAAGGCAGGGGATGAAGGCAGGGGATGAAGGCAGGGGATGAAGGCAGGGGAGGAAGGCAGGGGATGAAGGCAGGGGATGAAGGCAGGGGATGAAGGCAGGTGCTTGAGGTTGGGGTTGGGCCCCGCCACGTACACCAGATCGTTCAGGCTCCGCGCCTGGGAGAGGGGAGGTGGGGGCGAATGAGGAGAAAGGGAAGATGAGGAGATGGGGAAGGTGAGGAAGGGAGGCAGGTGCTTCAAATTAAGCCCCACCACCCCAATCATCCCCTTCACCTCTCCCTGTCGCTCCATTCACACTCCAGCCACCCATTCACCCCTCAATCTCTCTCCCTCTCTTCCTCTCCCTCTTACCTGCTCAATAACCACTAGGGCGGGGTGGTGAGGCTCGTTGGGCACGTGGCTGGTGACAAACACGATTGGGATGGCCTCCTGAACCTCCTCGGGCCGCCACTCCTTGAGCACGTCTGCTGATGACGACACCAGCTGCTGCTGTTGCTGCTGCTGCTGCATGGGCAGTTGCGAGTCTGCACGGGTGGAGGATAGCAGTGGAAACGGGAGAGGAACATTCTTGTAACTTGGCTTTAAAAAAGGCTTTGAAAATATGATTCTGCATCTGGTGATGATGTTGGTGTTGATGACATCAGCTGCTACTGCTATTGAGGCGGAGTTTATGTGGCGATATGAGTACCTGGAGCAGCGAGAATGAGGCACTTCTTATCAGGGGTGCGTCGTTTCCAGAGGGAAGAGATACCATTCGCTGTGGACAACACCAATCCCTCTATTACGCCCTGCACCGTCCTTGGCTTGGGCGGCATGGGCTCGTGAAACGTCCGACGAATCTCGTCCCGTTTGGATTCGCGGAAAAACAGCGGCCGCCCTGCACACCACCACCCATACGCCCCCCAATTTCCACCAATCCACCCACCCCTCCCCATTCCTTCCCACCCCATCTTGCCCCACTCCCTTACACTCCATCCCTTCCAACTCCTTCCCATTCCTTCCCAACCCAACCCCCTCTCCTTTCACCCCATGCACTCCAGGCAACATGCATGCACCATACCACATAGACATACCATGCCATGCCAGGCAATAAGCATCATTAGTTCATTGGATAATGGTGCACGTTGGCTTGGAGAAGAAATGGGAAGAGAGGGATTGGAAGGAGGTGACGGGAGACAGAAAAGAGAAGAAGAACGGGCTTGGCATGCCCATTATGCCTACCAACCTGCCTACATACCTGAATGTACAGTAGTGTAGTGTAACACGTTACTTACGCGATTCGAAACCTTCATTGTGCCACAGACCTTCCGTTCTTGTCCATTCAAGCCTTTTGGAGGCATTGTGTGGGAAAGGGTATGAAAAAAGACACGAACCGTTGTAGGCACTCCAGAAGGGAAACGGCCGAAATCCCTAACACAGGCCGTGCCATGTCATTCTATTCATTAACCACGTCACACCACACCATACCACACAATACAAACCACTCCATATACTCAGGCATACTTTCCCCATCCGCTTGCCCTATCACCCAGCCCTTTCCCCCAAACCCCTCCCCAACCCCTTGCCCGCCTGTTGTCTGGTACACCCAATCATAGCGTGTGGGCCAAAAAATGTTTATGGGGGACAAAACCGAGCTGACAAGGGCTGTGGAAGTACAAAATTAAAAAAGAGCAAAAAACAACCGAACGAACAAGCCATTTTACCCGGCCGAGGCGTCCACCGTCTCACGTTTCCCTTTGTCCGGACAGCCCCAGTCAGACGTGCGTGCTTGCTGTACTCACCTCCTCCGCCTCCGCTTAATGTGCCGTCCGAATAGTTCTTAAGCGACTCAAGAGTGAGTTCGTTAACAGTCATTCTGTCCCCAAGATGGGAGCTGCTAACCCAAGTCAACTTAAGAGTCATCTCGCTGTAACGGCTCATTTGCTGAGATTCTGTTGCACGCTCACCTAATTGGCCTGTCCCGAGGAGGTTGATGAGGACTTGAGCTCGTTTCGGGACGTTACTGGTCTGCGAATTCGCTATTCTCCGAGCCACCTCCTCAAACGAAACGCTGCCACACATCGCGATGACGACCACCACTAACGCGTATATCAACCGCATGAACAGAACCCGCAGGCTGAGAGCTTCTCTGCGGAACAGAATTCGAGAACAGAGCCAGTCAAAAATAAAATTCGGAGATTAGAAATAGGTCCGAGGCAGTAAACCCAATGAATTACTATTGTCACGTTGATGGATGAGCCTCACCAAAAACGAACGCGGGATTGGAAGTAAGATACGATATTTCTGACCCGCAGATTTAGCAGATTAGTGGAAAACGGAAACGGTGGGAGCTTTTAAGAGCACAGGAGATTTCTCTGAACCATATATGGTCTACTACCTTGGAGGATGCTTGCTGCTCGACGCCGCTGACAACGCCTTGAGCGACCCCGATCGGCCAAATCTTAGGAATCTTAGGAATCCCCCGGGTGTTGAATGGCCGACCATGATGCTCCACTACAGATGGACCCGATACAAAAAGGTGAATTCTAGTGTTGGTATAATCTTCAACGCTTCAATAAACAGATGGCGCCGTGGCTAGTGTTGCCTGGAGTCGAGTCGGAAGTCCGCCACTACTAGTACGGAGGTATCCGTAGATCATCTAACGGGCTAAAATGGCATATTGGAGCCATAATGATACGCTGGGCATTCCAAGAGTTTTAGACGTCACATTGCAGCAATCTCGGCTGACGCATTGATCACTGTTCGGCTAACGAATTCCGAAAATTCTCTAAGAGGTTACCTACAACGGCTCGGGATCACGGATATATTTATCGTCAGCACACAGCTGACAGCGAATCGAATAACAAGCCACTGATACCACGGATCAAATTGAGCTCCAGGCAGGGCCCACTGACACCACGTATGGCTCAGCCAGGCAATCGTATATTGCCACTAAAACAAGACACGTGTTTGTTCACCGCAGAATTTAACGCCTAAATGGAAGGTGCTGCTTAGCTGCTGTCATATGCAGAAGTAATCTGTCCATTGCGCTCTGAGGTAAGCCGAACACTCCTTGCGAGCCACTAACGAGAATCAGAACCCAGCCCGGGTTATCAGAATCAGAACTAGAATAGCACGCCACTAACGAGAGAGGTTCTAGAACTGAAACTGAAAAGACAGCATGGAGCTGGGTTCCAATCCAAGTAAACACGAGGTATTATGGAGTTGGTTGGTGGTGGAGGGGAGTCATGTACAGCCAATCTCTAGTGGTGGCCTTCATCTCTCATTTCAAGCTTCTGTCCAGCTGCTGTCTGGCTCAGGCTTCTCCACTCCAGTTTTCCATCTGAAAGTTCTGTAGAGACTGAGTGTCACCAGCAGCTGGGGTGCGAAACACACGATTCACACCCTCGGTCGCCTGGCATGGTAACCTGCATACGGGGCAGAGGAGAACCTTTGGCCCCTGGGTTCTGTTTCAGGAGAAATGGCTGTACAGTTGAAGGTTCGTTTACTGTACTTGTGTGATGCTTTTCCGCCGGGCATCATAATATACTGGCTGGGCTGTTCAGGGTGTTCGCTCGCTGTCAAACTATTCTCATCAAGGTGCCCGCAAATCCAGAAAATTGAAACCCACGAGTTCATCTGAAACTTTTGCGGAAATTGGGGGAAGTAATCGCCCCTGTAAGCAAGGTTTCGCTCGAGTGCTCGTGAATTCTTCGCCAATTGCGACGGCTCACGAGGGAACCATCACCAAGACCGAGGTTGGTGGTGGTGGAAGGTAGCAGAGCCAAGGCATTTCGTTCCACCCCCCAAATTGAACTGACCAGATCGGCTCAGCAATCCCAAAGCATATTCATCCAGTTTTGAGACTTCGGAGGACTTGATTATCTTACCCAGCTCCGACTCGTGAGTGTTGGATTGAGGGCTGACCTAGAGAGGTTCTGGTCTGGCTCCTGAATGCACTTGCTCAAAATTGCTCACGCGGACGGCACATTGCCCTGGTCGGCAATCCTCGATCCCATTGTTAGCGCCGTTGGACGCTGATCGATAATTTTGATTGCGGGAACAGGAGCGATGGCTCCTCCTCGCAAGAAGGCCGAACCTGTGAGAAAGGAGGAGAGCGAGAACGAGAGCGAGAGCGCGAGCGAAAGCGGGAGTGCAAGTGGGGGTGGAAGCGAGGATGAAAGCGCAAGCGAGAGGAGCGAGGGTTCAGACGAGGGGTCTGACAGGGACAGTGACGCGGAGGAATCGGGGGACGAAGGGAGCGGAACGGAAGCAGAGGAGGAGGATGGGGAGAAGAGCGAGGAGGAGAGCGAGAGAGACGCGAGAACAGAGAGTGACGTCGACGGGGACGAGGAAGCGGAGGGGGAGGAGAATGAGGGGGCGAAAAGAGCGGGAGGGTTAGGGGGCAAGGAGACAGAAGGGCTGCTGGGAGCAAGGAGGACGAGCGGAACGGAAAAGGTTAAGGGACAAGATGTCGGGAAAATTAGTCAGTCGAGAAGACCTCGGCTGACGTGGCTATCGTGGATTGGCCTATGGCTGGGCTATTTGATCGCTGCTTTTATTGCCTACCACGTAATGCAGACTGCCACGTCACCCGTTCCCACTCTCTCCCACGCCTCCTCCTGCCTCTCCTCCTCCTCCACTGTTAACGAAACAGCAGAAGGGGGGGAAAAGACGCCAACCTCACAGCCCGGATCAGTCCAATCAGGAAACGCCACGTGTCCGGCTCCGCCTCTCCCTCCTTTCACTACGTGGCACCCAGCCGTGGCAGCAGCCGCCACTCTCGTGCTTCAGCCCTGGTCCCCTGTAGCGGCTACCCTCGCCGTCTTAGGGTTTTCCCTCCTGCTTCTGCGGCAGGTGTCTGCTATTGTGAAGAAATTAGTAGCCTTAAGAGAAAAGGTTAATAGGCTCGAGACCGAGGGAGCGAGTGCGGGGGTTGGAGGGGACGAGGGACGGGGAGAGGGGGAAGAGAGCGAGGGAGAGGAGGAAGAGGAGGAAGAGGAGGGATCGGAGGACGGTGAGAGGGAGGACTGGGAGGGGTTCGCAGGTGGTGCAGGGGGGCAAGTAGTGGCAGTTGGCGATGTCGGTTTAGCAGAGAGCCTTGCTGCGATCAGTGAGAGTGTCGGCACTAACTCTTTGTTAGCGATTCTGGTGAATGAGGTGCGGGTTCCGTTAAGGGGCGTGCTAGGGGTGCTGCAGCTGTTGTCCTCCTCGCCCTTGGACGCAATGCAGCAGGATATTTTGCATTCTGTCACCGCCACCACGCGCCACCTCATCCACGTGGCAAACAACGTCGTTGACACCTGGCGCGCGGATGGCCGGGCGGCTGCAGCAGCAGCTGCCGCCGCCGCTGCTGCTGTTACAGCTGCTACAGGCGCAGGTGCTGCTGCTGCTGCTGCTACAGCATCTACAGCAGCGGGTGCAGCTGCTGCTGGTTCTGCTACAGCCGATAGCCTCGGTGCAGGAGGGGCATTGGGGCCTGTGGCTACAGTGCCGGTGCCGCCCAGGCTGGAGTCGGCACTGTTTGAGTTTCGGCCGCTAGTGGACGAGGTGTTGGCTCTGACAGGCGGGGAGGCGTGTGAGAAGGGAGTGGAGATAGCAGCGTTGGTCATGGACTCAGTCCCTGCAGCTGTCGTGGGGGACCCACTCCGACTCAGACAGGTGAGTAGTGTGTGGTGAAATGCCCCATTGGGAAGTTGATGTGTAATGTCATCTGAGACGAGGACAGGCGGGGAGGCGTGTGAGAAGCGAGTGGAGATAGCCGTGCTGGTCAAGCGAGTGGATATCGCCGTGCTGCTCAAGCGAGTGGATATAGCCGTGCTGGTCAAGCGAGTGGATATAGCCGTGCTGGTCAAGCGAGTGGACACTGTGCCAGCAGCTGTTGTGGTGTGGGGGAAGCGAATGTGACCCATTCAGACTCAGGCCACATTCTCTTCTGCATGCGTATTGTCATTTCCTAACCCCATCATGTGTAAACACCAACCCAACCCCCCCCTCCCTCCCCCCACCCACTCCTCTCTCTCCTCTCCTCCACATGCAGATTCTTCTCAATCTCTTCCCTGTTGCTCTCCGCCTGGTCAATCGGGGCCACATCTTCCTCTGTGTCTCATCGCCTCTCTCTCCCGATTTCCAAACCCCCCATTCCTCTCTCTCCTCTCCTTCAAATGCAGATTCTTCTCAACCTCTTCACTGTTGCTGTCCGCCTCACCGATCGGGGCCACATCTTCCTCTGTGTGCGTGTTGCCTTCGACGCTCCCCACAAACCACCAGCAGCAGCAGCAGCAGCAGCAGCAGCAGTGGCAGGATCAGGAGCAGCAGGAGGAGGAGCAGCAGTAGGGGATGGGGTGGATGGAGGGGAGGAGGAGAGGGAGAGGGCAGCACGGGGGAAAACGTCTCTGATGAAGGGCGAACACCTGACTCTGAGCGGGTTACCAGCGGTGGACGGCAGTAACAGCTGGCCTGCCGTCTGTGAGATGCTGAAGCAGCAGGAGAACCGACTCAAAAAGTCACCCTCTGGTGGCGCTGCTGCTGCTGCTGCTGCTCCTGCGGTTGTTGCTGCTTCTGGCAGCGGCGGCAGTGGTTCTTCTTCTGCTGCTGCAGCGGCAAATGCTGCTCCTGGCGCCGCTGCTGCTGCTGCTACTGGGGGTGCATCTGGAGCAGGGGCAAGGGCCGGAGGGGCGGACAGGAGGAGGAGGGGAATCCGGCTGGTGTTTTCTTTGGAGGACACGGGGGCGGGGCTGCCGGGGGAGGTGCTGGCAGCGAGGGAGCGGCCGTTCGAGGCGGTTCACATGAAGCTGCAGCAGAAGTATGCTGGCGTGCCGCTGCTGCTGTGCTTCGCTGAGAGGTGAGCGGTAGTCTGCCTGTCTATCTCTCTGTCTGTCTGTTTGCCTTTTATGTATGTACACTGCTGTGCTGCTTCGGCCGTTCGAGCCGGTCCACATGAAGTCAGGACACAGTCACCCCCCCTCCCTTTCCCTCTCCCCCTCCCCCACCTCCCCCCTTCTCTCGCCCCCTCCTGTTCCCGCTCCTCCCCGCCCTCTCCATCTATCCCCTCAGGCTCGTGAACTCCATGTCAGGACAAATGTCGCTATCCACGCGCGTCAGCACCGGCACCACCGTCACCTTCGATGTCCTCCTGGACCAGCCTCCCCCAGGTGCCACCTCCCCCAGCACTGGCGGCAGCAGCAGCAGCTCAGCCGGAGGGGTTGGAGCAGGAGGAGGAGGAGGAGGAGGAGCGGCGGCAGCAGCAGGGGGGGCAGTGCCGCGGGTGTTTCACATAGGGTATGGGGCGATAGGGGACGATCAGCACGCCGAGTGTGCGGGACTGAGGGCGAAGCTGCGGGGGATGCGGTGTCTGGTGGTGGATGGGCGGCCGGTGAGGCAGCAGGTGACTGCCACGTACCTGGCTCGCATGGGCCTCCGAGTCGACCTCTCTGATAGCGTCCCTGCTGCTGCTCTCGCCCTGCGACACTCCCGGCACCTCCCAGGTGGGTGATTGGTAGGTAGTAGATAGATACTAGACATAGCCTGCATGGTGATAGGTAACGAGCAGCAAGTGGGGCGATAGGGAGCGACTAGCCAGGGGCGAGAAGCTGCGAGGCATGAGGTGTCTGGTGGTGGATGGACGGCCCGTGAGGCAGCTGGTGATTGCCACGTACCTGGCTCGCATGGGCCTCCGAGTGGACCTCTCCGACAGCGTCCCTGCTGCTGCTCTCGCCCTGCGACACTCCCGGCACCTCCCAGGTGGGTGACTGGCTGGTAAACCTAGGGAGCAAGGCGCTGCGCTTTTAGTCCAGCAAGTGGGGCGATAAGAGGCGACTGGCTGAGGGCGAAGCTGCGGGGCATGCAGTGCCTGGTGGTGGATGGACGGCCCGTGAGGCAGCTGGTGACTGCCACGTACCTGGCTCGCATGGGCCTCCGAGTTGACCTCTCTGATAGCGTCCCTGCTGCTGCTCTGGCTCTGCGACACTCCAGGCACCTCCCAGGTGGGTGATCCGTAGGGTACGAGCAGCATTTGGTTTGGAGCAGCATGTGAGGCAGCTGGTGACTGCCATGTACCTGGCTCACATGGGCCTCCGAGTGGATCTTTCAGATAACGTCCCTGCTGCTGCCCTGGCGCTCAGGCACTCCCGGCATCTACCAGGTGGGTGACTGTGATTCATCCCTGTGACTGCCCTGGCACTGCCACGTACCTGGCTCGCATGGGCCTTCAAGTGAATTTGCTCTCACACACTCCCCATACACTCACAGGCCAGGGCCTGGTGAACAGGAAGAGCCGGTGGGATATGGTGGTGGTGGATGCCGATGCGGACGGGCCGGGCACGGGGATAGAGCTGGGGCGCATGGTGCAGCAGCTGAAGGAATTAAGGGAGGCATGGGAGGCCACTCCTATTGTGCCCAAACTGCTGCTGCTCACCCAGGTAAGCAGGGGAGAGGGGAGGAGGAACTGGGCCAGGCTCGGGGATAGAGCTGGGGCGCATGGTACAACAACTTAAGGAGCTTAGAGAGGCGTGGGAAGCCACCCCTATTGTTCCCAAGCTTCTGCTTCTGACACAGGTGTTGTGGGGGGGGCGGTTGGGGGTGTGAGGGACAAGGGGGAGGCTTCAAACGGGTGCTTCAAAAAGTCTGAGCAAAGGACTGGCAGGGCACGGGGATAGAGCTGGGGCGCATGGTGCAGCAGCTCAAGGAGCTCCGGGAGGCCACTCCTATTGTTCCCAAGCTGCTTCTTCTGACACAGGTAAAGAGGGAGGGGGGGGGAGGGAGGCGGGGGCGGGAGGCTAAAAGGTGTGCTTCGAATGGGATTGATCGAGGTAGAGAGGGGCCGGGCACGGGGATAGAGCTGGGGCGCATGGTGCAACAGCTCAAGGAGCTCAGAGAGGCGTGGGAGGCCACCCCTATTGTTCCCAAGCTGCTGCTGCTCACGCAGGTAAGGGGAAAGGGCACAGGGGATGAAGAGCAAGAGAGGGGCCGGGCACGGGCATAGAGCTGGGGCGCATGGTGCATCCCAGTCGAAGGAGCTTAGAGAGGCCTGGGAGGCATCTCCTATCATGCCCAAACTGCTGCTGCTGACGCAGGTGCCAGGTGCTTCATTTTACCCATCCACCCATCCATCCATCCACCCATCCATCCATCCACCCATCCATCCATCCACCCGTCCATCCATCCACCCATCCATCCATCCACCCATCCATCCATCCATCCATCCATCCATCCATCCATCCATCCATCCATCCATCCATCCATCCATCCATCCATCCATCCATCCATCCATCCATCCATCCATCCATCCACCCATCCATTCCATCCACCCATCCATTCCATCCACCCATCCATTCCATCCACCCATCCATTCCATCCACCCATCCATCCATCCACCCATCCATTCCATCCACCCATCCATTCCATCCACCCATCCATTCCATCCACCCATCCATTCCATCCACCCATCCATTCCATCCACCCATCCATTCCATCCACCCATCCATTCCATCCACCCATCCATCCATCCATCCATCCATCCATCCATCCATCCATCCATCCATCCATCCATCCATCCATCCATCCATCCATCCATCCATCCATCCATCCATCCATCCATTCCATCCACCCATCCATCCATCCACCCATCCATTCCATCCACCCATCCATTCCATCCACCCATCCATTCCATCCACCCATCCATTCCATCCACCCATCCATTCCATCCACCCATCCATTCCATCCACCCATCCATTCCATCCACCCATCCATCCATCCATCCATCCATCCATCCATCCATCCATCCATCCATCCATCCATCCATCCATCCATCCATCCATCCATCCATCCATCCATCCATCCATCCATCCATCCATCCACCCATCCATTCCATCCACCCATCCATTCCATCCACCCATCCATTCCATCCACCCATCCATCCATCCACCCATCCATTCCATCCACCCATCCATCCATCCACCCATCCATGTGTAACCTATTATTCCTCACTTTATCCATGAACTCAATAACCCATAGACCCTCATACCCAGTAAGCATTCATCTGGATATCCATTTACCTATCCTCCTCGTCCTCCCTCTTTCCCATCCCGTTCACCGCTCTGCACCGCACTGAACCAGACCACAAACGACGATCTCGAGGCTGAGGCAGCGAGGCACGGCTTCTCATGCATCATGCTCAAGCCGCTCAGAGCCGCCACCATGGCTACGGCTCTCCTGCAGGTATGTCTGGTGCAGGTATATCTGGTTCACTGTGGTTGGTGCAGAGGGAAGGGGCAGCAAGGCACGGCTTCTCATGCATCATGCTCAAGCCTTTCAGAGCCGCCGCCTTTGCTACGGCGGCCATGCCTCCATTTCCTATGCCTGCTTTTCCTGCAATTCCCCTCTTCCTCCCTCTTTCCGACCCCTCACCCTCTCCTACCCTCGTATTCTCTCCTACCCTCTCCCCCCCTTCCTCTCCCCCAAAGGCGCTCGGGCTGAACCCGCGGGAGACAACAGCACTGGCCACCAGACGCAGACAGCTGCTGCGGCGGCTGTGCCTCAAGGGCAAGCGAGTCCTGGTGGTCGACCACCATTACATCACTCCCCCTCCGTCACATCCCTCTTCCCTCCGACCTTTCTCTTCCCCCTGCCTGTCCCGCTTTTCCTTCCTCCACATCTCTACCCTCTTCCTCCACCCCTCTACCCTCGTCCTCCCTCTATCCTACATTCTCCCTCCCCAACGCCCAACACCACAGGCGCTCGGGCTGAACCCGCGGGAGACAACAGCACTGGCCACCAGACGCAGACAGCTGCTGCGGCGGCTGTGCCTCAAGGGCAAGCGAGTCCTGGTGGTCGACCACCATTACATCACTCCCCCTCCGTCACATCCCTCTTCCCTCCGACCTTTCTCTTCCCCCTGCCCGTCCCGCTTTTCCTTCCTCCACATCTCTACCCTCTTCCTCCACCCCTCTACCCTCGTCCTCCCTCTGTCCTACATTCTCCCTCCCCAACGCCCAACACCACAGGCGCTCGGGCTGAACCCGCGGGAGACAACAGCACTGGCCACCAGGCGGAGGCAGCTGCTGCTGCGGCTGTGCCTCAAGGGGAAGCGAATCCTGGTGGTCGACCACCATTACATCACTCCATTCACCCCTCATTTCACCCCTCTCCTTCCTCCTATCCACTCAAGGGCTGTGCCTCAAGGGCAAGCGAGTCCTGGTGGTCGACCACCATTACATCACTCCATTCACCCCTCATTTCATCCCTCTCCTTCCTCCTATCCACTCAAGGGCTGTGCCTCAAGGGCAAGCGAGTCCTGGTGGTCGACCACGATTACATCACTCCATTCACCCCTCATTTCATCCCTCTCCTTCCTCCTATCCACTCAAGGGCTGTGCCTCAAGGGCAAGCGAGTCCTGGTGGTCGACCACCACTACATCCCTCCCCTCTTTGCATCCCTCTTTCTTCCGCCCTTTTCCTTTCCTTGCCTCTCCTCATTTTCCTGCACTCCCTCTCCCTCCGTCTCTCCTACCCTCCACCCTCTTTTCTACCCTCTTCTCTCTTCCCCCTCTAGGCGCTTGGGCTGAATCCGCGAGAGACAACAGCACTGGCCACCAGACGCAGACAGCTGCTGCTGCGGCTGTGCCTCAAGGGGAAGCGGGTGCTGGTGGTCGACCACCACTACATCACACGCAAGGCGGCTGCTGAGCTGGTTTCGCACTTTGCTGACGTGGTGGTGGCCGTTGACAGCTCAGCGGAAGCCCTCTCGCGACTCACGCCTCTGCCGCACTCCTTCCAGCTTATCCTCGTTAATATCCGACTCGCTGACATGCCTGGGTGAGTGTTGCTGACTGGTGGTGTGGGGTGGGGTGGGGTGGGGTGCGGTCGGCTAGGGTGGAGTGGAGTGGGTTGGGTTCGGGTGGGGTGGAGTGTGACGTCCATTCACTGAGGTGTCAACGGGCCAAGCACAACAAGGCGAAACAACACGTGCACACACAAGTCCACACACGCATTCACACCTCTCCTTCACCTCCGCATTCCTCAACACTCTCACCCACCTTCCCGCTCCCACCCCTTCTCCCCCTTCCAGGTTTGAATCCACCGAGGAGGTGTGGCGCCGGGAGGCTGAGCACAACAAGGCGGAACAACACGTGCACACACACACTCTCAGATCTCTCTTTCACCTTTACATCCCTGAACCCTCCCAAACAACAAACCTTCCCTCAACCCCCGCAGCTTTGAATTCACCGAGGAGGTGCGGCGCCGGGAGGCGGAGCACAACAAGGCGGAGGTCCAACGGTGGGGCGCCACGTCAGCGCAGAGAATCCGCGTGCCGATTCTGGGGCTGGTGTCAGACATGCACCCTGAGATGGTGGCACGGTGGCGCGAGGTGGGCATGGATGGGCTCTTGACTACCCCCATCGATGAAGCCCAGTTGTTGACAGTAGCTTCTAGGCTGTTCAAGCCATCAGAGCAGCACTAGACAGGACTCACAGAGGCACGCACTTCAAGATGCTGAAAGGTGGTTGATTGACTTGGTTGATCGGCGGTTCGCCTGCAGAGAATCCGCGTGCCGATTCTGGGGCTGGTGTCGGACATGCATCCTGAGATGGTGGCGCAGTGGCGGGAGGTGGCATGGATGGGCCGCTCACTTCTCCCATTGATGAGGCGCAGTTGTTGACAGTAGCTTCCAGGCTGTTCAAGCCAGCAGAGCACAGAGGCCCCGTCCAGCCTCATCACTGGTGTCGGACATGCATCCAGAGATGGTGGCGCGGTGGCACGGGGTGGGCATGGAGGGGCTGCTTACTATTGAAGAACCCCAGCTGTTGACAGTGGCTTCCAGGCTGCTCAAGACTGCAGAGCAGCATTAGAGTTTTAGTATGCCGGTGCATACACCCTCGGGTGGCACGAAGTGGGCACGGATGGGCTATTTACTTCTCCCATTCACGAGGCTCGGCTGCTGACAATGGCTTCTGGGCTGTTTATGCCATCAGACGAGCACTAGACAGGACTCGCTGACGCAAGCATGCACTAAAAGATGCTGGATGGTGGTTGACTGAGACTTGCTTGCAGAATGTGTCACAAGGCTTGCATGTAGGGAATGTGCATGCCGATCCTGGGATCATCGAAGTGGACAATGCTACATTGAAAAATAGGCCTATTTTGTACAAGGATGCTGCACTGATAGGGCAAAGATACCTGTAAAGAGGATGCATTGCAGCATGCAGGAGCACAGGCAACTAATTGGCCAGCCAACCAAGGAATAGGACCAGGTTGAGGAACGAAGGGATGAAGGAGAATCCAGGCCCGAATTCAGACTACCGTAATCAAGCTGACAAGGAAAGGGTAAATGAGGTGAGGGAGGCCCATGCGGGAACCATGGAGGTACGATCCAGAGTGCACAGCGTAAGCCCGTAGCTTTCATATACCATGAGAGGCCATGGGATGAATGGGTGATCAGGTGGCGCTAATTGTGCAGCCTTATTTATCATCAACACTGGCTGCTCCATTGGAGGGTAGGGTGTGAGGACGGTGGCTATTCTGCTGCATCAAAAGAGGGCGGTGTGGGTGGGTGGGGGACGATGGCATCGACGAGATGGCAATGCTGCGTCAAGCTGGTGAGACGGGCTGCTGCTTCAATCTGTCTGCTGCTTGGATTCAGGGGTGGGGGTGGGGCTGTTGAAATGGGTGTTGGGATGCGCCTGGATTGCAAGCGCAGGTTGTGGAGTAGCTGTGGGCGGTGATTGCGATATGTGTGGGCTGTAATGGCGGTCCAGGTCGGTGACAATTGCGGTCCAGGTGGGCAGCGATGGCGGTCCAGGTGGCGGTGGCGGTCCCGGAGGAAAGCGCAGTCAGTTGGGTGGCGGCGGCGGTACATGTGGGCGGTGGTGATGTTCATGGAAACGCATGATCTACCATGGAGAGACGTGGAGGGGCATGGAGGGGCATGGAGTGGCTGGCAGTGGAAACACTATGGCTGTGGCAGCACTAAGGCAGAGGCTCCTGCACGTTCCTAAGGCGGTTGAGGTGCAGGTACACATCGGTGCCATAGCCCTCCATGGACACCACCTGCAGGTCGCCCCCAAAGTAGCGCGCATACAGCCGACTGATGGGCAGCCCGTAGCCATAACCGGCCCTGCTCCACACATAAACAACAAAAGCAGCAACATGAACAAGGGGCAAGCACAATGAGTCAAGGTGAATGCAGAGGCCGACTGATGGGCAGTCCGTAGCCGTAGCCCGCCCTGCTCCACACATATTAATGATGGGTACAATACAAGGGGCGCACAAAGGGGCAACCGGAATGAGTTGAAGTAGATGAAGGCATGAATTCCAAGCGGTGGTGGCAACCCGTGGCAAGGGGTGGCGAGGGGTGGCAAGGGGTGGCAATTGGTGGCAAGGGGTGGCAATGGGTGGCAAGGGGTGGCAAGGGGTGGCGAGGGGTGGCGAGGGGTGGCAAGGGGAAGCAAAGGATGGAAGCGGTGGCAAGGGGTGGCAAGGGGTGGCAAGGGGTGGCGTACATGACGGTGGGCATCTCGTGCAGCTGGTTGGCAGCAGCAATGGGCGAGTGGGCCGTGGTGTAGAGATACGTCCAGATCTTTGGCAGACCACTGCGTGGGATGCCACCACCCTCATCCGAGATCTGTACCGGGAGGAAGAAAAGGAGAGCGGGAAGGGGAATGAAGGGGTTATAATACGTACAATAAACATTCACAAACCAACACCTCCACCACCACCAACACACACACCTCAAATCTCACATTTCCCACCCACATCAGTTATCCCATCCTCTACACACCTTGATGGTGACATCCTCCATGCCATCAGCCACAATCAGGCGGATAGGCGGCGGGTCGTGGTCAGCATCGGCGAACCGCTCCTGCACAGCACGCAGCGAGTTCTTCACGAGCTCAAACAGCATCTGGTGCAGATGGGCCGGCACGTACCTGCAGTGCAATGTGGTGCAAAGGGGTGCGGATGGGTGGGGTGGGAGGAAATGGGATGGGAGGAGTAAGGGACATGACGCTCCTGCACGGCATGCAGCCAGTTCTTCACGAGCTCAAACAGCATCTGGTGCAGATGGGCCGGCACGTACCTGGGATGGGTGATGGGGAAATGGGTGGCAGGGAGATGGGTTAGTTCAGGTCTAAAAGTATGTTCTGCGGCATGAGGTACCACGCCTTGTCATGACATGGCATGGCAAGGCAGAGTGACGTACCCGGACGCGGGTGCACCACAGATGTTTTTTTCCGGCGCCTCAAAACTGCGAGTGCGCCACAGATGTGCACGTCTGAAGTGGAGCCATACGTGCGTATGATTGCCGTGCGAGGGCAAGCGTGAGTGCGAACGTTCATCTGTGTGCATGTGTGCATGCGTGCACATGTGCAAGTCTGCATTTCTTCGCAAGTACGTACGCAAATCTGAGGTCAGGGTCGCCATAGATGTGCACGTCGGGGGCGGAGCCATACGTGCGCATGCACGCCGACCGCGCATCGTCCACTGCGTTCCGCGCCACCTCCACCGGTGACACCTTGGTGCAGATCAGACTGGGATCGGGTATGCATAAGAGTCGGGGAGAATGGGGGAAAAGGAGAGGGGAGGGTAGGCAGAAGGTTCTCTCTCTGAACATCACATGCCACCTCCACTGGCGACACTAAGGCACGAGGGAACGAGGTAATGGGAGAAAAGGCTTAGAATGTGGCGGAAAAGGGGTAGGGGTTGGGAAAAGCCAGTGCTGCGCCATCAATGCACTTGCCATTGGCGTGCCAGGCGGTATATCCTATAGAGTGGGGCAGCATACCCGATATAGTGGGGCGGTGGCGATGGTTTATGGAGCGCGACGTGTTGGCCAATGAGCATACGAATGCCTATCCGCGACATGTAGAAGCGATCCTGAGCACACAAGCCACAGATGTGGGAAGAGATGAAGGCGCAAGCACGTTAGCACCGCGCTGGTTTGGACCGCACAAAAAACGCAACAGCTGTCAACAAGCATCACGGGAGAATGGTTAAGCCGCAGCAAGTCGCAGCAGCAGCAGCAGCAACATCAGGAGACTGACCAGGAACTGGTGAATCTCGGGCATGCTGTCGAGTCCCTGCCTCGTGCTCCCAGTCACCATGTCCCTCTTCAGCTCGCTCACCCCCATCGCCACTGTCGGCATCACGTTGTTGTGCCGCATCCGCACCTGGTCAACGCAAGTCAATGCAGGTCAGCGCAAGTCAATGCAGGTCAGCGCAAGTCAATGCAGGTCAGCACAAGTCAATGCAGGTCAGCGCAAGTCAATGCAGGTCAGCACAAGTCAATGCAGGTCAGCGCAATTCAATGAATAAACCACGCAATGTAATGCAAGTCAAACGCCAGTAAATGATATTCGTCTGACAGAACGGGCAGCCATGGTTTGTCTGCTAACACCACCTTCTCTGCTCAACCAATCTCTGCTAACCCATGCTCTGTTAACACCATCTGCTCGCCTGCTTGACCATCCCACCCAGGTACACCTCCTCTCGTCCTGCACTTCTACAGCAGCTCGCCCGCTGTCCGTGGCGTCCTTTCCTCGCTCTCGTCCCCCGCGTGCTGTCTGCCTGCCCTTCTCCTGTCCTCCTGCTCACGTTATCTAGATCGATCCTTGAGGCGCCTTGTAGAACGTTCGCTTGAAGCTTCCCTTGCTCGACTGAACTATCAGCTAGCGATGCTCACCTGATCTAGCAGCTCCGTGAAGCGCATCTCTTCCCTGGCGTTCTCAATGGCCGGGAACTGGGAGATGTCCTTGAACGAGTCCACGTACCAGTCTCGCACCTGAAAGGGCGAGAGCGGACGACGGAAATGACCAAGGCAAGGGGGTAAACAGGGGGCGAGAGGGATGAGCGAGGGAAGATGACAAACAGCGCCATGGAGTGAGGAAGGGAACACGTGGATGTCATTGAACGAGTTCACGAAGGAAAAAGCAGAGTTCTACGCGTTTACAAGCCGTCTCGACAAATCCCCTAGCACGCCCCGCACGCGTTTGAACAGGCCTTTACCTTCAGAATGGGAGCTTTATCCGACAAGCCGTAGGGGAGATTTTCGAGTTCCGTGACGCGATGAGCGAGTCGCACGGGGAGCTCGTGATGAAGGAACTGCGCGGCTGTAATGAGATTACGCTCTGTGGGATAGGAGCCGTGTGCCATCATGTACTTCAGGCTGACTCCTGTTTGCTTTTTTGACGCGCATTTGTGTATCTGCAAGCATCAAATGCACGAATTGTAACGAGCAACAGAAGGAAGTTGAGCGTTGTAACAGAAATAAAGCATAAAAAGCGAACACATAACAACAAGAGAGGCAAACGCTGAAGGCGAATACAAGGCATATCGTGAAGAAGGATTGATTATCTGGACCAGCGAAGGCATAGCAGGAGGAGGGTAAAGGACGTACATCGGCTAGAACACTGGAGCACAACGTGTGTGACAGTTTTCTGACAGGAGACTTGGCTGCAGCTGTCGTCATCGCCAAGTGTCTGATGAAACCAACTGATAGCCAAGACCTTGCCAAGACCAGCCTTCAAACACTAGAGAGCTTTCGCCGAGACGTCACTAAAACAGCAACTTCGTGCGACAAGGTCTTTACTATCAAAACAGCTATCTACGACTACAACAATTAGCTAGATTATGATATTCGAAACTGCTATCTACCGAGTGAGAGCTGTGGCTAACTGATGATGCTGATTCCGTATCCAATTCATGCTGAACGACTGACACACATGCTAAGACGCTGGTGGTACTTGCGATACGAAAATCCGCAGTGCAGTTCACGGCATTCAGGCTTGTCAGTTGCTGATCAAACCACCACACGTCACGAAACGAGCATCTGTATGCACTGGAAGACGAAGCTGTTGATCAAGGAATTCATGAGACAACGAACCAAGCTGCAAAGCTTACAAAGCTGACTTCAAACTGCTCCGACAATTTCGGCCTCTGAAAAGATTTCAGCACCGATGAGCGTCGATTTGTTCGGTTGAATATGGTTTACTTTGGTAGAGTCATATATCAGTGAGAGAGGCCCTTGGGAGTTCCGTGGAGGAAGGAGTGTCAGGGACCTGTGCAAGCCAGTCTCGTCGCGTCGGGGTGAATGCGAATGGCGCTGCCTGCCTCGCAACCGCAAATGTTCATCGCATGTGCCCGAGGGCCCAAAATGCTCCGTCCACAAAATTGCAAATTCTTGGACTGCCCAAAGAGCACTCCGCCACTGGCCGCCAGCCGATCATTTCCCGCAATTCCGTAAAATGGACGCTGCACTCTGACCGTCCGAATCTTGCCGCAAAGTAGGACGAATATAAGGCAGAATTTTGAGGTTTCCCCCTATGTGCACTGTACGAAACACGAATTCCCTCCATGTGAGAGGCTTAAAAGTTCGCGTTGCTGGATTCTTACCATGTGACTCTATGCTGCCACGTCACGAGATAAGTGCGTGATTTCCACGCGAATTGGAGAATGGGGACCCCCAGTTTTTGACGGAAGAATTTTCATGGATGATGTGTGGTGGTCCCCGCACCAAGAGATTTGCCCCCTACTCACACCAGTCGTCTGCTGCGCTGGACGAAGTGCTTTCTGCGCCTATCGTATTCTCGCAATCACCTGCAGACCACACAAGCGCCAAGGTGGATAGACCCTTCACACGCCAGATCCAGCATACGTCACGTCAGACACAACACAATGCAGGGCGATGGGAGCAAAAATGCTTTTGGTTTAGGTAATTACCTTCGCGGTAACACACTTGGAGCTCAATCAAGCCGAAGGTAAGCCACGTGTCCAGATCGTAACAAAGATATCGTGTCTTCGCCAATATGGTAACCATTATGCCTACATGGTCAATATTATTGCCCGAATGGTAATAAACAGTGCATCCGGAATTTCTGGCTGGTAACTTCGCGTTTCAACCAAACTGTACACCGTACAAGTAGGGTTTGACTCAGCGAAACGAAACTTTTTATCCACGTATACACTAACAGAATGCACAATTCGCTTTAGTGTACGAACGCTTACAAACGCAAAGCCTTATATACACATATGCGATACAATTATAGAAAGGATCCTACAGACACTGGTAAAAAAAAATCATAGGATCAGTTTCATCATCCAATTATATTTATGAAATCACAATATATCATTTAAGTGTATGATATAAATGAGGTCCTTGTGTGAAATAACGAGGAATGAATTGACTAAGGGAAAATTGGGTACAAAAGCAAACCCTAGAAAACTGTACCCCATATGTGCTACCCCACTATAGCCTACAGTAGCTATGTCATATAAATCTGACACCTTGCAATATCATGAGTTCACAATAGATACTGCAAGCAGGGCTGATTTTATCAGGGTAATTACCCTGATTTCAGGGTGATTTCGGGCTTTCCACTTCGTGGAGACTGAAATTTTGAGAGTTATTGAATTTCCAGCCCTGATCCAATCAGAGTAATAGTTTAGCTATCCCTGATTTTGAGTACAGTGTAACAGACTAGGCTGTTAGTCGACCCTGACTTAACAGAGTATCGACTGTGTGGACCCTGACTTATCGAGAGGAAGTTTCTCGGAAGTTTCCTTCGTATGACCCCGCCTTAGATTGATCGCAGTGATCCCCCCACATGTGCGTAATCCCCCCCCTTCCCGCTTTATCGAGACGAAGTTTCTTCGAAACTTTTTTCTGATCGAAACTTCGAGACTTTATGGAGAGTGGGGATATTTTCCCCGACTTATCGAAAGGAAGTTTCTCGCACGTTTCCTTCTGATGACCCCGCCTTGGATTGATCGCAGTGATCCCCCCACATGTGCGTAATCCCCCCCCTTTTCGCTTTATCGAGACGAAGTTTCTTCGAAACTTCGTTCTGATCGAAACTTCGAGACTTTATGGAGAGTGGGGATATTTTCCCCGGTAACAAAGCGCGCGTTACTACTCTGATGTTCAGTTCTCGTCCCTGAACAATCAGTGTTAACTACTTTACAACCCTGAGCAATCAGGGTACTGCTTTTCTGGAAAATGTGCACCCATAATAGAGGGGGAAAATTTTCCCCGGAATCAGGGAAGCTTAAAATGAAACGTCAGCCCTGACTGCAAGGACCTCATTTCTATCATACACTTAAATGTGTTATTGAATTTAAAAATAAATAGATACATTTTTTATGCAACTTTAAATATCTATTATATGCAAAAAAAAACAGATTTATACTAAAATTATTGGAACTTGATCTAGCTCCAATTCTTAAGATTCATAATAAAAATTCTGGTAGAGTAATATAATTTGTTTTACAATATTTTTCACTAGGATAGCTTTGCGGTTTGACGTTGTACGGTATGTTTTTTTTGCGTTTGTTTAATAGTTAATGTTTTCAGATTTTTTTTTCTTAAACATATTAAGTATTGGCATAGCGAGGTTTTATCGTTGGGTATTGTAAACGCCGCTATTATAAACAGAAATGCGCATTTTGTGGAGTACATGTGGACAGTTAGTTTCTTTTCGCTGAGTCAAACCCTACTTGTACGATGTACAGTTTGGTTGGAACACGAAGTTACCAGCCAGGAATTCTGGATGCACTGTTCATTACCATTCATGCAATAATCTTGACAATTTATGCATGCTGGTTACCACGCTGGCGATGACAAGATACTTTCGTTACGATATCGACACGTGGCTTACCTCACGTGCGATCGAGCTCAACGAGTGTTACCGCGGAGGTAATTGCCCTTTTGGTTTTCATAGCAAGGGCAAGTCCTCACAAAAGACCATAAAAAGGGGGGAAGTTCCTTCATGCAAATATCACAAGTTTGGCCATTTCTATAAGTTGGAGGAATACCACATTGTTACTAGGCCCTTAGATTCGTTTTGAGGTAGTCTGACGCCTCAGAGTACACCCCTCTTCCTAGTCTGGCTGTCAGAGTTACCTATTTTTTTTAGTCTGAAAATTCAGACAAGCACAACTTCTTTTGTCTGAACTGTCAGAGTTACTTCAAATTTTAAGATGTTCATGCAGTTTCATAACAGCATAGCTATAATAGCATTGAAGCTGATTACAGCATACCAACGCAATTGTGCGGCCAGAAATGGGGCACTCTGATTGGTCATTTGTCAAGAGTTAGGATCACTGAGCAGTCAGGGTCGAGTCGAGGTGTGGGCATCAGACAATGGCCTCGTGCAAGTGCCAAGTGTGGCAAGCTCCCAATCAGCTGACCTGGCAGCAGGCACGGTATCGCTCGGAACTTTTCTGTGCTGGGCGCGCTGGCTGCAGCAAGAGTTTTCAACTGTGTACACCCTATGTGCGCGGAATATTCTCTCCTAAAGTTGCAGATTCAAAATTTTGACTCGGTTTGGGAAGCGGAAATGATGTGCGGTTCTGCTGAAGTACGAGACTCATATGTGACACGGCTTTCGGTTGCACCAATTCGCTTTTCGCCATGTGCGATTCGCTAAAATCGTTTTGGCCATGTGCGATTGGCTATCTAGTTTCACAATTTAAGGGTTATTATAAGCCCCCAATGAATTCGACACTCGAGATAGCGTCGACAAAGTAGTGTATCCTTGTACCCCTACTCGAGCAGTTTTATCCGGAGGAAATCGTTAGTGCTGGCCCGTACACACGTGGGTGTATCGAAAAAAAGTTTCGAGGAAGTTTCGTTCCGATAACCTTTCATTCAGTCGGCGGAAACCCCTGTATAACCGGTTTCAGAGTGGACCCCCGATACAAGTTTGAGGCTCAGCCTACACTACTATGACTACTCTGAAATTTCAGACAAGTCAGTTAAAAAAACTCTGAAAAATCAGACAGGTTGCATAAAAAAATTGAGTTCAGACTAGGTACAAAAAAAAAGTCTGAACGGACTCTGAATCAGACTCCAAAGTCTGATAACTAGGGCCCTGATTGTTACTAACAAGCACTTCACTTTTTATACATCAACCTTGGAGCTTCACAGGTTGATTGGTTGCCACAAGCACAAAGCAATGCCCCTCTTATCAACGGTGGCACTGTTGAGAAAGATTTGCGACGAAATAAATGCAACGTGCACAATAATATTGGCCATAACTTAGCACCCTTGTCGGATGACACATGCCCCCCAACAGGCTACCGAAAACCGACGTAGGGACCACCACTATCCCCGCTCGTACTGGTACCGTGACCAGCATACTCATCATAAGCATAACTGTTATCACTACCATTGTCCTCCGGCTCCACAGGAAACAAATCCTCCTCCACCTCATACTGAACTACCTTTTTCTTACCACCACGTTTCCCACCAATCCCAGCTCCAGAGCCGGCATCCCGCATCCCTACACTATCACTTACGATCCGGCTGGCTCCAGCACTCCCTACCCCCACAGCTGCAGGCGAAGCAGCAAAGGAGCTTATGTTCCTCCCACTTGCACTGCGCCTGGTGCTCCTGCTTCCTCCTTTTCCAGGGTAAATGCTCTCCCCGCTCATAGCCGCCCCGTGCCATCTTTCTGCCTGCTCGTTATACCCCGCGCTCATGCTGTCCTTAAAGCCCATGCTTTCACTGTACCCGGTGCTCATACTGTCGGTAAACCCCATGCTCATGCTGTCCTTAAAGCCCGAGCTCATGCTATCATAACAACCAGGACTGCCACCTTCGCCATACCCCATGCTCATGCTGTCCTTAAAGCCTGCACCTGCACTGCTGTTAAAGCCCATGCTTGCACTATCCTTGAAGCCTGTGCTCATGCTTTCCCTCAGCCCGCTGCTCATGCTAGCCCTAGCCCCTGGCCCTAGGCAGTCCCCCAGTGAACTCTGCCCTCTGCTAGCCCTGCTCTTGGCTGCCTTGGGCTTGAACCGCGAGACAGAGGAAGGCGGGGAGGAGCAGGGAGCAGAGGCGATGGAGTTGGAAGGGGAGAGCATGGCTGCATGGAAAGCCTCGGCTGGCTGGCTGTGCGCTCGAGACAGAGACCCTTCGGTGCCACTGCTTGCAGCACCAGCAGCAGCAGAACCCACGGTGGCAGCAGCACCAGCACTAGCACCAGCAGCGGCAGCCGCAATGGTAGCAGCAGCAGCAGCAAGAGAGCCTGCAACAGAGGAACGGCGCTTCTGCTTGTCCTTTAACAACCCTGCAGTTCCTCCCTTGTAGACCTGACCCCCTCTTTCAAACCCTCCTGCTGGGAAACCTCCAGCGGCCGTCGGTATCAACTGTCCTCTCTGCTCCTCTTCCGCCTCTTCTTCCTCTCCCTCCTCTTCGTCCTCTGCCTCATCCCTTGAACCGTACAAGTCCTCCTCTTCTTCACCCCCTGCCTCCTCCAATACCCCCTCCTGCTCGGTCCCATGCGCCCCACTAACATCATCACTCGCAACCGGACCATATAAATCATCGACCACCTCCTCCCCCATATCACCGTACATATCCTCATCCACTGCCATACCCCCTCCTCCTCCTCCCCTCCCCACAGCCCCCTCCTCCATCCTCTCCTCCTCCCAAACCCGAATCTCATGCTCGTTCGGACCCATCTTTTCTACTGATTTCCCTGCACTGTGCTTTGGCTTCTTTTTCTTTCCCTTGCTTCTCAAACCTTCCTCCACTGTACCTAATGTACCCACTGTACCCACGCCACTCGAGACACCCTCCCTTAACCCCAGGGCAGATTTCCTCATTACAGTCTGCTCCGCTACAAGTCTCGACGAGCGGCCGTCTACTGTATTAGCCCGCTGCACTGTCACGGGTGTTGATTCCTCGGGATGTGTGTGCAGCTGTGAATGCAGCTTGGCATTTCGCCCATCTGCTGTGAAGGACCTCTGAATATCCATGGCTTCTTCACTCTCCATCCCGCCACCGTTGAAACCGTCTTCGTAACCATCATCCTGGTAACCAGCATTATCGAAACGACCAGCATTGTAACTGGCATCGTTGTAACCACCGTCATTGTGGCCAGTATCTTCGTAACCACCATGATACGGATCCACGTAACCATCACCGTACCCAGTTCTATCGTAACCACCATCCCCACCATCATACCCACCACCATCCCCACCATCATACCCACCACCATCCCCACCATCATACCCACCACCATCCCCACCATCATACCCACCACCATCCCCACCATCATACCCACCACCATCCCCACCATCATACCCAACCCCATACCCACCATCATCTTGGTAACAAGCCCCATCCGCCCCTCCAGGGACCATGTGCCTGCTGTCGCCGCACATCTCTCCACCTTGGCCCCCCACCTTCATCCCTTTCTTGGGAGATCCACCTACTCCCACCCCTCCAATCCCACCTCCCACTCCCCCAATCCCTCCTCCCGCCCTCCCAATCCCACCTCCCACACCACCTCCTCTCCCCACTCCCCCTCCCCTTCCCCCACCACTCGCCACCCCATCACCCCCTCCTGCCACACCTCCTGCCACCACACCCCCTCCCCCCATCACCCCCCTAGAAAACTCCACACCTCCCTGCACCAAGTTCAAGGACGTCTCAAAACTTGCCGCACCCCCTCCTGGCACACCCCCTCCTCCCATCATCCCCCGGGTGAAATCCACACTGCCCTGCACCATACTAGCTGCCACACCAGACCCGGTACCCCCTCCTAATCCTCCTGCACCCCTGCCTCCGCCTGCTGCACCGCTCTGCACCATCTTGAACTGCAGCAGCTCCTGCAACCGTCTGGGCGCGTCTGAGGAGTTTTTTTGGAGCCTGGAGTGAGAGGCGGGCAGGGGGAGTGGAGATCCCAAGGTGGACGCTTGAAACCCCAACCCTGTGCCCCCTGCTGCTGCTGCTGCAGACATGCCTGCCGCTGCTGACACACCTCCTCCTGCTGCCACGCCTGCTGCTCCTAGAGGTGAAAGGCATGACTGACCTGCAGCGGATCCTGCTCTTGATGCAGGGGAAGGCATGTCAGGATGGCCCCCTCTCAGCATGTCAGCATGGCTGGAGGATCGCTGCCGCCAAATGGGCTGGTTCCCACCCATGCCACTGCCGCCACCCATGCTTCCACCACCCATGCCACCACCGCCACCCATGCTTCCACCACCCATGCCACCACCACTCATTCCTGCTGTTGCTGCTGCTGCTGCTGCTGCTGAGGGGGAAGCACTACCCCACGTGGCTGTTGGCGCATGCCTGGAGCGAGTGGGAGTGCTGCTCTGAGACACCTCTGTACCCCACTGCACCCCTGCAACTGCAGGCGACAGCATGCTTCCCCGCACATACCCTACCCCTGCTCCTGCTCCGGCTGCTGCTGCTGCTCCACCTGCTGCTAATGGTGCTTGAGGGTTGGTAGGAGGCATGGGGGAGGAAGGCATGGGCATGGTTTGAGGAGGCAAAGGCATGCTGTTTCTGCCGCTACTCTTCTTGCTCTTCTGCCGCCTCGCCCTGGCAGGAGGATGTCGGTGAGGAGACACGGCAGCAGCAGAATCCACTGCAGCAGCAGTAGCACTGGCAGCACCAGCAGCACCAGCAGCACCGGCAGCACCGGCAGCACCTGCAATCTGCGACCTGCTATGGGCATGGGTTCTGCCTCTTCGCTCTCTGTGCGGCCTCGGCTCCCCTTCCTCGCCCTCCTCGTCCCCATACGCCCCGTCGTCATCATCATCATCACCAATACTCGTATCCCTCCAGCCAACACGACCACCACCACCCTCTGCTTGCACCTCCACTCCTTCCTCACCCTCACTCTCACTCTCAGCTGAAGAAAATTCCACCTCTTCCCCCTCGTGCGCCTCTTCCCTTTCAACCCCCTCCTCCCACAGTCCCTCATCCTGTCCTTCTTCCTCCCCCCCCACATCATACAGGTCCTCCTCCCCTTCCTCTTCCTCTGCCATTCCTGACACGATTCCTTCGCCAACAATTTCAGGAGCAGCCATGCCAAACCCACCATCAGCAGCGTAACCACCACCACCAACAGTAGCAGCACAACCTGCAGTGGCAGCAGCTGAAGCAGCAGCAGCAGCAGCAGCAGTGGCAGCTACCGCACTCTCAAATTCCTCCTTTCCAAACTCACCCCCATTGGCCACTTCCTCATCCTCCTCCTGCCCCTCCTCTGCCTCCTCTGCCTCCTCTTCCTCTTCATCTTCTTTCATCCCAGTCCCCTGCTCTTCATGCTCCTTTTCCCCCTCACGCATACACTCACCCTCCTCCCCACCACCGTCCTCCTCACTCACCTCCTCCTCTTCTACCCCTTCATCTACAAGCCCGTGCACCAAATTCCCACCTCTCTCCTTCTGCCTACTTGCCTCCCCATCCTCTTCACTCCCCTCCTCCTCCTCGTCCCCCTCCTCAATCGTCTCAGGCACGCCAGCAGCCACCTGCTGGTGTACCTTAGTCAGGCAACGCAGCAGCTTCGCTTCTAACAACCTCTCTCCTTCCATCCCTACTCCTACATCACCACCACCATCACCAGCAGCCGCAGCTGCAGCAGCTGCAATTCCATCCCCGCCCGCGCCTGCCTGTTTCTGCCTCAGCTGCTGCTGCTGCTGCTGCTGCTGTTCGCGCTTGAACGAGTTGCGAGCGCTGAGCAGAATACGAAGCGCATCGTCCCCAGAGAGCTTCCGAATCTCCTCCCGAATGTCCAGAGAAGACAGGAACTTGCTTTCCTGTTGAGACTTGCTCTCCTGTTTTGACTTGCTGTCCTGTTTGGATTTGATCTCCTGTTTCGACTTGGAATCCTTCTTAGATTCACTATCTTGTTTAGGTTTCCCAGAGGCCACTCCCTTGGTATCAACCTCCTCATGCCTTTTCTTGAGCTCTTTCTCCTTGTCTGCATCGCCCTCCAGCTCCTCCTCGCCCCTCACCCTGCTTCTTCTTCCCTCCTTCGCCTCCTCTCTCTTGCCCTCCTCCCTCTTACCCTCCCTCCTCTTGCCTCCTTTCTTTTCCTCCCCCTTCTTTCCCCTGTCTCTCTTGGCCTCTTCACTCCGTCCCTTGCGCTGCGGATTCGCCTCATTATCTCGACCAAGCTGTCTTTCCGTTCTGGCCTTGCTCCCGCCTCTTCCAGCCCTCTCCCTGCTCGGTCTCCTGTAACCCCGATCCTCTCTCCTGCGAGCCCGGTCACTCCCATCACTGCCACTGCTGCTACCACTCTCATCACTGCCACTGTTACCATCAGTGCTGTCTTCGTCCTCCTCTTCAATCCTCCTCCTCTCGTTCCTCCCTCTCCGCTCCTTCTCACCCTTCCTCTTCTCCCCGCCGCCTCTGCGCCTATCTCTGGATGGACCTTCTTTTTCACCCTTATTCCCACCCTTACCCCGTGCCCTATCTCTCACCCTCTCTTCCTCCCGATTCCTACCCTTATCCTTCTCCCTCGCTCTACCCTGTTCTTGCTCATGGTCACTACTCACATGCCCATCACTGTCCAGGTCACTGTACCCCCCCAAATCACAATCGCTGCCACTCCTGTCCCCATGGCTGTGCTTTCCCCTATGCCTTCCCGCTCCTTGATCTCTTTCCCCAACACCCTCCAACCTCCCCCGCCTTTTCACCCCATCGCTTCTCCTCCCCTCGTAATCACTTTCCCGCCTCCCATCCTCGCTAAGCTCTTCCTTTCCGTCCTCGCTATAAGCATCCCTCCCGTCCTCGCTATGATCCTCCCTCCCGCTCTCATCACCCGCGTCCGCTCCCCGCCTCCTCCTGCCCCACCTGCCCCTCTCATCGGCGTCTGATCCCTCCTCGATTCTATCCCCTCTTCTCTCACGTCTGTTCCGGTTTCCCCTCACCTCCTCCTCCTCCTCTTCCTCCTCCTCGTCCTCCTCCTCGTCCTCCTCATCCTCATCATTGTCCCTCTCTTCCCAATGGTCATCCGCCCTACCTCTTCGTCTTCCCACTCTCTTCCCTCTCCCTCCACCCCCATGATCAGACTCCAATGACCCCCTGCTCCTGCTCCTGCTCCTACTATCAGAAACACTCCTACTCCTCCTCCGCTCACTCCTCCTCTGCTCCCTCCTCCCGGACTCTCCCCCTCTCCCCTCCCTGCGTCTCTCTCCACTCCTTAGCTCCCTACGAGAAACCCCGTCTCGCCTCATCCGGCCCCTACCTCCTCTTTCTCCTTCTTCCTCATCCTCCTCCTCTTCCTCCTCCTGCTCACTATCAGACGCGTGTCTCCTTCTCGAGTGACGACTATCCGATCGATCAACATCAGACCCATGGCCATCGTCATCGTCATCATCATCATCATCCCTCACTCGTGATGCCAGGCCCAAACAATCATCCCCCCAGCCATTATCAACCGTCTCATCATCCTCCTCCTCTTCGTCATCATCACTATCACTACTGTCCCTCTCTCGCCCCCGTCCCTTGTGGAACCCGCTGCTCTCACTATCCCCCCCTCTTGAGCTCAAACCCTCCCCTTCATCCCCCTCCTCCTCTCCCTCCTCTTCATCTTCCTCCTCCTCCTTCCCTCCACGCATATTCCTCCGCAGAAACTTCATCAGCTCCTGAGTCAGAATCTCCTGCAACTGCGGATCCTCCAACCTTGGATCTCTCCTCTTCAAATCATCATCATCCTCATCCCCATCCTCGTCCTCTCCAAACCCCCCCTCGTTTTCCAGCACCTTCCCCCAGTTTTTCGGCCGGAAATCCGCCTCATCAAGCCCATACACCTGCGACAGAAGCCGTTTGAACTTGGTCATATCCAGCGGGTTCGTGCCTTGGTGCTCGCCAGTGTCTATCTCCCCGTGCAGCGCATCCCCTTCGTCCGTCAACACAAGCACGTCCGCCTTCCCCGGAAGCAGCTTCGGGAACCCTGTCGGCTGCTCATCCTCCTCCTCTCCCGCTCCCCCTTCGCCATCCGACAACGTATCATCCGTAACCCTAATTCCCTCTTCCCCGTTCGCACTGCCTCCGCCTCCGCCTCCTCCTCCTCCTTCGCTTGTGGTCCCTCCTGCAGCCCCCTCGCCTTCCACTCCCCCTCCGCCGTCGGTCTGCTCCCCAGCACTGTCCTCCTCGTCCGGGTTGCTCCAGATCTTGGCGGGGCAGCGGGCAAAGACGGGGGTGAAAGCGGAAGACCCAGGGGACGGAGACGGAGGCTCTGTGCGCGCGTGTGCGACAGGAGCTGCGGCGGAGGAGGAGGGATCTAGCTGCTGGGCCTGAACCTCCTGCTCCTGCTGCTGCTGCTGCTGTTGTTCCTGAACCTGCTGTGGCTGCTGATCGTGTTGAGCTGCGTTGCTGCTGCAACCTATCGCACTTCCTCCCACACCGCCATCCGCAGCACCATCAGCAATGCCACTCGCATTCTCAGAACCACCGGTAGCAGCAGCGGCACCCGAACCACCAGAAGGACCTTTTACACTTTCAGCACACTTGCCGCCGCCACTGGTACCATCCCCACCACCACCAACACCTTTCCCGCCATCTGCACCACTCTCAACGCCCCCTCTCTTCCCACGCTCGCTTGGAGCTCGCCTAGCATGTGGGGGGTGCCTCCGGGCCCCACCAGCAGCAGAACCAGCAGCAGAACCAGCAAAAGAACCAGCTACAACCGCTCCATTCCGTACCCTATGCGCTGGTTTCGAAGGCAATGACATTCTCCTGCCCAGAGCAGCCGGGTTCGCCAAGGGACCTGGAATTCCCTGTGCAGGCGGTGGTTCTTTACTTAGTCTGTTCATAATCCGCTCAGCTGCCTGCTTCCGCCTCTCGCGCTTAAGCTCCTCCTCGGTCATCTCCCTCTGCGGCTGCTCCTGCGGCTGCTCCTGCTGCTGCTCTTTTGCTTCTCCCTCCCCGCTCTCGCCTCCAACCTGCTCTTCCGAACCTGCTGCCGAGCCTGAAGTGGAGGCTTGGCTGGGTTCATCCCCCTTGTGCCGGATCACGAGCTCCGTGATGCTCCGGAGGAAATTGCCGGACAATTGGGACTTGAGGGATGATTTCTCCTTGGGTTTTGACTTCGCCTTGGGCTTGTCGTCACCGTCACCCGGTTCTCGCCTCATCTTTAAATGTTGTTATCTTTTCAAAATCAAAAGATGCTCGGGGTTGACAAAACTTTTTAGTCAACACGGTACCTCCTCAGTGTGTGACTGGCGTGCTTCTCATTCTCCCTGAAAAAAAACAAAAACTTGGAGTCAGAAAACAAATTCCGCTGCAGTGAAGCAAAATGGAGAGCTTAAAAATGCGAACACCGAAGGACAATGTCATGACTAGATGATTGACAATGACATGAAGACGGTATCACGCACCGACGAAAACGAATGCGCTCGACACCGGCTTCGTCGGTTTAGGCGTGTTCTCGACATGATGGTTTCGGTGCGACTGGAATGCCACGAATATTTCGTTCAAATCTATGTTATGTACGTAATAGGGTTAAAAAACGAAGTTGCAAAAGTGGACGGTGACGGGTACTCGTTGAAATGCATGCCTGTACTAATAACATTAACGACCTAATATAAGGCCATTATGATACAATAGACAAGGTCCTATAAGGCCAATGACGCAGCCGCGATGGATGCATAATTACGCCTATTTTTTGTTGCTGTTTGCTAACCCTACTCGAGAGTCATGGTACTAGCAGGTGACTGTACGGAACCTGTTAGTTTGAAGCTTATCAGGGAGACAGGCAGAGGAACAGGTTCGAATATGGAATTGATCGACCCAATTCTGGCGTGCCAGAGCAGGAGCAAGGCAAATGGTATGGGTGTGTTGTGTTCGCCTGTCATGCATTGCTGTAAAGCTGTGAGATTGGGAAAAAGTGCCCGAGGTCGTGTCCATCCGAGTACGGTTGAATGCGTTTTTGTTACGTTTGACAACGTTTTATAGGGGTGGGCTGGTTAGGGTGGTCAGCCTCCACTGCTCAGGGTGTGACGCGCCACCGGACCAGAATTGTTCAGGGTGCCGCTCCATCCAACCCTGCCTGCTTCGCAGGCATCTGATGCTTTCCATGTTCCACCACATGCACCCGTATCACGATCTTCAACGGCCTCCTCACCCATGGAAAAACCTCAGTAATATAAATAGACCGAACCAAACCATTCTTACCATAGCTGTATGTTCCCAACAACCATGGACACCTCACCCGACGACCCATGGTGACATGTGGCACCATGGGTGGAATGGCTGTATGTCTTCATTTTACTTGGTGGTGGTGATGGGCTGCTGACAATCTCCAAAAATGCAGATGACACTGTACCGGTTTGTCTTCTAGATTGAATCATCATTGCCGATAAATAATAGTCCCACACTCTTCTTCTTCTTCTTGTGGCTCTTGGACAGCATGTGCACCATGGAAACAAAGAGCATGGCTACCCCCTAAAAAACCTGAATTGACAAACGGCCCTCGACAACGGCCCAAAACTCTGCCCTAGGAAGGGAGGATCATGTCCGTGACCACCCACGTTTCTTTTCCAACCCCCTTCCCTATCCCCCCTTCACTCCCCCTCACATCCGTGCATCTGACGGATACGGGGCCTCCACCCGGAGACACCCCCACCCCCCCCCCCCCCCCCCCCCCCCCCCTTCATCCACCCTATCCTCCCTCTCCTCTCCCTATCTATCAAGTCAACGTCCACCCCCCTCATGGATGACGCAGCTCGCGACAAGATAACTCGAGCCTGCGCTCAGTGTAGTACCACCCCAATAAGCGTCTTCAAATACCCCAAGAGATATGGCGAAAACGACATGTCATCTTTCCGACAGGCCCACGTCATCTTTCCGACAGGCCCCTTACGGCACAGCTAACCGTAAGTGAGCACCCCCCTGCCGACTTAACCAACGACTGAAACACCCACCCAATCACCTCTGCGTCTCAACAATAAAAGGTGTGAACTGCACACCCCGATTGCTCGCTAGCATCGGCACGTAATCTTTCGCCTTCCGTCGCTCCTATTCTTTGGCCGCAATGCCCGCACTGCCCGATCAAAGATGGAGAGGGCGACAAGGGGTCTACAACGCTGATCTCCAAGGCGTGCGCCTCTCCGTCCATCGTTCTACGCACCACAACATCTACACACTTTTTGGTAACATGTAGTCCTCCATCGTCACCACCCCCCCTGGCGCCTTAGAAATTATCGCCACCGCAAACTTCACCTCATCGTGCATCCGAGAGGGACCGTGTTGGTGCTTGCATCGCAGTGCATGGTGCGGGTCCGCCGGGTCCGCGTACACCGTGCTGCATACACAACGCCCTACCACGTGTAGCTGATGGGTCGGAAGGCCAAGAGGCACAGCTGCAGCAATGCCCCACCTAGCAGCTGTGAAGGTGACATCTGCATAAGGTGGGACAGCCGAGACCCATGCACCAACCCCCGGGCCCTGAAGGGATGTGAAACGGGCTAGGGTGGCGTCGTTACGGGCCAATCGGCACACATCCTGGAGTTCCTCCAGATTCAACTGCCGCAGCCGCGCCAAGAAGAGACGGACCGGGGGGCAGCAACGTAGATAGGCAAGCTCGGCATCTCCTGGCGTACAGCCTCAGGCAGCTGCTTGAGGCTCTTGGAAAATAACGGGTCGAGAAAAGCCACCCCCACCACGGTCCTAAGATAGTCCGCAAACATCTCGTCCTCGCCTGCAACCCCCAACTGTGCAATGTCACGCGCAGTTTGTGCCCACCCACAAGCGCAAGACAATGGGCTTAAGGAAGCCGTTGCCCGGATCCCGAAGCCGCCGAGGCAAACAGGGAGGTGCATTTGCAGGCGGGCCAGCCTAGACAGGCCAGAGCCGTACTACCAGGTGCCAGACGGGAAGAGCTGCTCGAAACAGTCCTCATGACTAATGTCCCATTCACTGAAAGCGTCCACCACCTCTGGCCATGGCGACACCGTCCGCGCGAGGTACATCGGCCGCGCTGAAACAGCGACAGCCATGAGGTGTGACGCCATCTACGAGTGGTCGAGCAAGGGGAGCCACGGCAAGGGTGTCTGCAGTTTCCGAAGTCGCTCCCGCAAACGAGCCACCTCCCAGTCCTCCTCTCTGTTGGAAACAATTGATTTAAGCGCCTCTGTCGTGTCGAAACACCAAGTCAGAAGCGAAGCAGAACATATCGAAGCATCAGCGAGTCAACCCTCGGAGGTTGAACAACTACTGGAGGTTACGCGAAAGTCAAAGGTCAGCGACCTTTGACCTGACAAGTACAGCGCGACAGCAAGGACAAACAACTGACTCGCTATTGAGCAGTTGCCCGAGTCGTCACTGTATCGAACCGCAACAGCAATGGTAAAACGGTTATTAGTTATAACCCTTCATATTCCCTTGTATTCTTATAAAAGCTTGTATCTCTTTGCTATTAATCAACCTACTTTGCCCTCACATACTAGCGCAAGGTGGTTCATAAGTTTTCATTAAGACGCTTCCGCTATTACATTGTCCTACTCAGAATTTAGTCCTGCAAAGATCCTAAGGGCTTTTCTCAGCCCAACACTCTCCAATGGGGACCCCCACCACTGTGAGTCCCTCCTCCGCCCGCTGCATGCATTGTTAATGAGTATTTCACTCAAGCCGCATGCGAAGCCATCGGACCAATGTTAAGTTCCTGTGCTCAAAGACAGCTGACGTTTCTCCACTGGTCCCGGTAAGTTTCAAAAGATGTACCTTATGATACACCTGCGTTGTCGATCAAGTCGGCCCAGGGTTAGCATGAGCGTATTGTGCGAAGCTGTGCAGCTCAGGAAGGGACTTGGCTCCTGTTTTTTCATGTGAACTGAACAACTCCTCAGGCCATGAAATGACAACGTGGATCACCTGTTCTGGCTGGAGTAAGGAGAGGAATTCGTAGAACTACTCATTTCACAGTACGGTGGGCGAGGCACCCCATACTATTGGGTTGAGGCCTTCACCCTGGTCTTCAACGCAGGGGTTGCCAGCATGGTGATACACTAGTTCACTTCTTCCGTCACCACTGCAATCATACTGACGCCAAGCTGCACGACAGTGGGGCATGTGAAACACTAAGCGCCAGGCCCAGGCGCCATTGAAGATTCGTCATATTCATTATGACACGAGCAGCACTCAGAACTGGCAGGAATTTAATCAAGCGAGGAATGAGTTGAACACAACCACACAAAGATTGACAGCAGTACCAATGCAGCATGGTCAGGTGCTTATAAGGATGGACATCACAGTGAAGTGAGCACACAAAAAGTCCCCGGATGGTCATTCTTGGCGTGACCATACAGTTTCTAAGGTGTCAGACAGCGCATGTCAGGAGCACTGACAGCTAATTAGTCCAGGCCGCACGCAGTCAAGGCTACAAAATCATCGTCCCCTCCTTTTTTTCTCCTTCCATCTTCATTCTTCTGTCATACTGGCGATTGCCTGAAACTTTTGGGCCTCTAAGGCCACTGGGTCATCGTCAGGGGAGTTTTCTTCAAGAATGGCCGTTAGCTGACCTTCTACAATAGTCCATGCCTGTACACACGGCATGTGATGGTGTACGGTGAGAAGAAGAGCACCCTTGAAACCACGAACCATTGATCAGCAAAACAATCACGTTGGTACACTGACTTTTCTCACCTGAGAAGCGTCGTAGCTAATGCGAGAAGCACGGAATTTCCTGTTAGATGAAAGGTCCACGTTCTGCAACGAAGGAGAAAGCGAGATAGAAATTGTTTTTGTCAACAACGTGGCGTGAGGAAGAGTAGAAATGGAAATTACACCATAAGATGGCAGACATACCATGATTTCGATGGTTCTTGGCCCGCGAGACAGCTTGTCAGCATCGGGATGGGGATGGAATACAATGAAGGCGATGGAGAAGAGAAGGAAGCTAACGAGGATAGCCCATAAAAGCGACTGATTCGACGGCGAGCTCATCCACTGACTAATGCTTCGTGGGCTCTGTGTCATGTCGTGTGTGAATGACAGCCGCTTTGGATAAAGCGGTGAGTGCTCAGACATCTCCGACAGCTGTTTCTTAAGATGCAGAAGAGGAGTCTCACGAATACCCAGCCAGCTACCAGGAAACATAAGGAACATTCGCCACCGTAAGCTTAGGATTTCTAAT